ATAATATAATATTCAATCAGATTTAGTAAAGTGCGTACATTGTTTTTGATTTTTCCCTGATCGTGAGCTCTTAGTCCTTTACTAGTTTTTTTTTTTTTTTATCTATAGAACCATAAGCGAGAATTGACGCATATACAGGCCATGTAATATAGTGTGTCAGTTTGGTGACGACGCACCGAACTCAACCGGAGGCACGGTGCTCCAGCTAAGCTGCTGCCCAATCTGCAACCTTTTTTTCGAAATGTCATGCCCCCCGTCGAGCGTCATTGAGTTTCGAAGAAGTGCTGGAAGTGCGCGTTACGCTATACGTTTGTAGAGTTTCACTTCTTTTTTTTTTTCGTTATCAGGTCGACGAGATAGTGAAATTACACGTCGTTGCAGCGTTAGTGATCGTTTATGGGACGAGGATTGATAACGTGTGCGAAGGTTATTCCTATCAAAAGGGCAGCTCCCTTACGTATCACCATTCATGTGTCTTGCTATGCATGGGTATCTCGATGCAGTCATTGGGGTGCCGTGGCAGTGTCCTGAGTGCGACACGAGTGTGTCTCCCGAAGTACTACTATATACGTTGAACCGTTATGATATTGTGTTGTTGATTTTGATAACTGGTAGTTGATTGATGGTGGTTTGTGCTTGGTGACACTGGTGGTCATAATGTTTGGTGAGTAGGCTACGGTTAGTGTTTGGTTTCTGTGTCGTGTGTTGTTTTCTTGAGTCTTATCCGTGCGCCCGCTTGGCTCGCGCTAGTTGTCAAACAGGGATCATCTGCTGTCAATCTTGCTTCAGCATGTTTATAAAAACTATACATTCGCATACTAAAGCAGCATTTTTCATATTTCGTATGGTTTTGTCTCGCATTTAATAGCATCATCATCATCATCATCATCATCATTCTTACCACCGCCGCCGTCGTCGTCGTCGTCGTCGTCGTCGTCGTCGTCGTCGTCGTCGTCGTCGCCGTCGCCGTCGTCATCGTCGTCGCCGTCGCCGTCGCCGTCGTCGTCGTCGTCGTCGTCGTCGTCGTCGCCGTCGCCGTTGTCGTCGTATAGAGCAGCATTCGCTTGCCATCGATAGTTGCATTCGCGGTTAACTTGCACTTACAGTTATACTTGTTTATGTATATATAATTCGTCAAGTTTATTTTATTTGACTGGTGATAATATAAATTTAATTCAAGAAGCGCTTCAGGAGGATGCAAAGAAATCGTAACGACACGAAAATCGTGCACTCTCTCAGAATAGACATATTATATTTCGTCATAGAAATTGGCCTCTTCTTTGAAGAGAGAGAGGTACATTTTGGAAGAGCTCTGACAGCTCTCGAAAGTCAGTACGTCGCACACAGTATGTTCATGAGCGTGCCATACCTTTTCCAGGAATCTCCTTCACATCGCACACACCCTCCAAAGCCTTCGTGACATCAGCGCATATTCGTTCAACGTGTCCAGTCAGCTTTGCAGCTATATTCCTGAAAAGCGTTGGCGCTCTTCTAATGAATCTGTCATGACGCAGTTAAACTCGCAATGTTGCTTTTTGTCAAGTTCCCGAACAAGGTCCTTGCAGTGGATCGACTGGCACGTGTTGCAATTGCAAAACTTTCCATAGATCTACACTGTTCTCGATTTGTTTGTATCTAATTTTCCATTTCGCCTTCATGTTAGATTCGTTCAATCTTCCTTGACATTTCGATAGCGTATCATCGTAATTATTATATCATATAATATTTCTCTCTTTATTCATTAGTCTTTTGCCTTCTTCCGCTTGTTTTAGCTTCTTTTTTACTTTCGCTCTCTTTCTCTCTCTCTCTCTCTCTCTCTCTCTCTCTCTCGCTCTCTCTCCCTCCGCCCATTTCTCCCTCTCGCGTTCTATCTCTTCTAGACACATTTTATGTACATCAAAATCACAGTTCACGTTGTCAATGTCACCCTACACACTCGTCCTAATTTTCTCCTTGTCTCCCTTGTAGATGGCCAGGGTCAGGTGCGGTGCTTAGTGGGAGGGAGGAGCATTAAGTAATACCAGATTGCCGCTTCGCCGGAGGCTTACAACTACGGATAGAAAGGGCTACATCTGCTCAGACGAGCGGTGACTGTCGTTCAAAACTGTTGTTCGAACGTAATTTCTTTTTGTATTTTATTATGACCAGCACTGCTTTTCTCAGAATGCTCTGCCTGCGCGCTATTCCTCCCGGCCGCACCTGAATCCTCAACGGTCTTCCACGCCAGCGCGTGTTGTTGTTGTTGGTGTTGTTTTTGTTGTTCGTGTTGTTGTTGTTGTTGTTGTTGGTATCGTAAAAATGTGTAGTCCTTCGTACCAGCTATTGTTGTTGTTGTTATTATCAATAACCTCGTCAGTATTATTAGGTGATCTTCTGATCCTTGTTACCATCTTCTAATCATCGTTAACATCATCTGCAGGATTTTCGCTATAATTGTTGATTGCTTGCTAGTATAATGTACTAATTGTGTGCTTGCTGTTGTTATTGATGAGAAGCGAGCGAAGCTTTCTTATTGTTGTTATTATGTCGAGATGCAACTATAAAGTGCTCACGACGAGACCGATGTAAGTCGATAGACGATGTGATAGTCTGCCTACATACTAGTAATATCAATAGTGTTTTATGTATACCACCCTTAATGGTCTATGAGAATTTCGTCGTCGACAAAATTCCCCGACAGACACTAGTACACCACAGTCAATCAGTAATAATAAACATCTTGTATCTACTATGTATGCTGCCCATTTTAACTCCAAACCGTTGTTGTCAGTCCTGCTGCTTCTGCTATTGAAATGATCATATTGGAAGGTTACTTTTTTTGCCGGCGTGACAAGGCCACGCGAAGTTATGGTCGTCGTCGTCGTCACGAGCAATTACCACGTTGCCTTCGTTCTTTGCCTATATCCAGTGTCTTCCTGTATCGATGTCTGTCCGTTTGGGGGTGTTCCTGTGTGTGTGTATGTTTCCCCGTAAACGTATAGCAATGCAGTTACGAATGAATAGTCGTATGTTTATTGTTCGAGCATCTGCCCAAGCTGGTGCACATGTACGTTTTTTTTTTTGTTTTTAGAGTAATTTTTACTGTTGCTTCGAACATATGATAACGTTGTGCTGGCATGCTGCTTATTTTGACCGGTGTTGGCCTGGTTCAGCGTGGTATAGTCGTACGCGTGTGTGTATGCGTGTGCGCTGTCTTCGTGTCAGACCTGGTGTCGGTAAGTTAATGTAAATAGGAAGCAATGATTTTGCTTGTAGCCAATTGATGCTGATCATCTCGTGTTGAGTGCGGTCACGATAGTCGCGCGCCATGATCGCTACCCATCAGATCACCTTGTGCAAAAGATACTTGACTGATACGCGAGTAAAGATTATAGGCGTTTAGGTTATTCTCGTTTTTTTACCTATCTGCAATGCAATGTAGTCAGTAACCTGTCCAAATTGGTTGCATAATAGCAATGATGATAGTACTAATTGGTAGCTTCCGATATATGAAGAACAGTAAGACGAGACATGTTTGGTCGAAGAAGCTATAGTATTTAGATGGTAATCAAATATAATGGGCTCGAACGTTTTGCCTAGCGAACAGTAAAGGGGGAATAGTGTTTCTCGTAATTCAATTGAAAAAGACAACATATTTTTTTGTGTTTGCTCGGCTGTGTTAAACTGGCGTGTGACCGGTATGTCGATATATACGTCATTGTAATATTGTGATTAACACCTTGCACCGTGCAATTTGACCTTATGTCCTGTCGACATTTCTTTTGTCCGCTCCTTCGTTCGACTGCTATTGCCATGTTGGTGTTGTTGACGTTGTTGTTATCGTTGGTGTTGTTGTTGTTATTATCCTTATACTGAAAAGTTTGAGTGAATGAATGAACGTATTTTGATGGGCGGTGAGTGGCGAATTTACGGAAGCACATGACTGGTGAAAGCTGAACGACGAATTCTGGTATCCCTATTTTTTTTCCTATATATAAGTCTTTCTTTCTCTTAAACGTTTCTCTATTATTTCTTCCTCCCTCCCCCCCCCCTCTCTCTCTCTCTCTCTCTCTCGCTCGCTCTCGCTCTCTTTCGTCTATTTGTTTTCTTCCTTTTTTCACTGTGTTCACTCATCCTCGTTGCCTTATTCCTAGCCATATAGACGTGTTTCTTGCATGATCAGTGTTTTTATTCTTATTAACGTGATTTTTTGCAGTTTGTACATGAACAATATTCATGAGAGACTAGAAACGTAACTAATGAATTCTGATGAAATTAGATGGAAGGGAGACCAACCATGAGGTTTACAGATGAGTAGATGGCCAGAGGCTGCAGCGAACTCGCCAAACAAAAAGATTCAACATCTATGACAATAAGTCTATTTCAATTCATTCTTTCTCTTGCCTACGGGAAATTTTCGTTTTTCCCTTTTTTTTTCACTCATCATTACCCCCTATATTCTCGTAGTACAGAAAAACTCATTCTATATATATCATGCTTATATAATTATAATAATTAATAATAATAATGGTCATAGTACACTGCTGTCGTAGCACGTGGCCGCAAAAATTTAGCCGTAATATCATCGATTCTTTTCTTTATATTCATATTATCATTATTATTATTATATTTATTATCATCAGTGTTATTATAATTATCATTTTTATGCGCATTATATGAAAATAGTAAATTTGCCACCGTTTTTAGGAGCCGAACAGATCTAAGTAAAATACAATTAGTTATCAAAGTGGGTTTTGACTTAGTTCGACTCCACTGAGAACTTTGCTGTTTTTAAACTCCGTTCATCTTTCTCTCTCTCTCTCTCTCTCTCTCTCTCTCTCTCTATTTCGTTTTGCTTTCATCTGTCTATTTGCCCATATGCATTTGTAAAACCCTCCGCATGTTTCTTCTCACTTTGGCTCGTCTCTACTCCGCCGTCCATCACTTTCGGTGCTTTTTGTTTTTCATAACTGTCTGTTATACATACGTATGTATGTGTATATATGTATATATGTATATATATACATATATATATGCATATATATATATATACATACATATATATATATGTGTATATGTATATATAAACACCAAGGGTTGTTACTACTGCATTCCGTGTAGTACACATGTCACTATTATATTACGTTATAGTCGTCCGTCAGTCCGTACAATACCAATCTCTTATACCGTTATGAGGTACCTATTAATATATTTATATAATTTGTATATACCAAGTAGCAAATGAGTCAGTCCGCTTCGTCGTCGCCTGTAGAGAGCTCGCATCGGCAATCAACCGACGGCGGGGTACCGACGACGTCATAGCGGGCATTTTCGCCATGAGTGCTCCGTGGACGTCCGACACGAACATCTCTTGTTTGCCGTCGTCGTTTAGGGACCATCTTCTGTGGAGAGTTTTTGTTTCCATAGTGAAAACATCGCTGTCGAATAGCTGTTGTCCTCTAACTTAGGCAGTGTAGATTTCGGCGTTGTTTTTTTACCTTTCTACTACTTAATGTTTTGCGTTCCGTTTCTGTCCTTTTCCTCTTGGGTCGCAAGATGACGCCCTGCCTCACCGGGAGCCGTGATCATTTTATGATCGGGTCGTCGCATCCGCAGTCGCTGCACTCGTCCCCACTCCTGTGCGCGTAGTCCTACAATCCTCGGACAATAACTTGTCTGGCGTCAGTTTAGTTGTCTATTTTTGAATGCTGTAATCGTTGGGAAATTTGAGTATCTCATGCTCTGTGAAGGGTTACTGGCGTATTGATCTTTATGTCCTTAGGCCTTTCTCAGGCCCCTGGTCCCAGTGCCCTTAGACTTTCAACCAGTCGATAGTCGTTGTCGTTCCTCGAGTTTTCAAGTCTTTCGTTCTTAAGCTCACACTTCGGCGGGTATGACACTATCAGCCGTTGGATCACCGTTCTTTCTATCTTCAGCTAATCATCATTCTACAGTACAAAAGTAGCGAGCAGCAAGAGCTCTGCGAATTCGGCAACACGATCGCGTCCCAGAAATGAATACACAGTATACACTAAATATTGCACAATATTTATGACTTATTTTTCGCTGGACTCGCCGTAATCGTTGTCGTCCTCTTCTGTGCTCGCTGGGCTCGTCCAGCTGCTGTGTTCGTGGCTGTTCGCCATTGACAAGATGACATAGAGATCGAAATTTCGAGGCTCTCCGGCGGGCTTACATCTATAGCCATTTTTAGTTCTACCGTAATTTCTTTCTGTTACCAGCATCACTAATCTTACCGCTGGTACTACAGGAACCTATGATGGTTATTAGTACTGTTTCCTCTAGCGCTTCTAATGCAATTACGACATACTGCAATACATACCACAACTGTGATACGGCCATTTTCAGTTACCTTTTCGCCGTCTATGCGGAAAGCAAAGAGATTTCGCTCAAATTTTCTATTCAACTTGAATTTCTTTGTTTTTCATTACATTCAATGGACGATATCGTTCGCTCATGAAGGTGAAGACGTTTTTCCATTACAGTCGCGTTCTGTCGATATCCGTCAACGTATTGGTGTATGTGTTTATATGTGCGCTATTAGAATAATGAGTTTTGCTTTGCCTTGTCTTCCATTTCGTGTCATTACGATCTAGTAAGTATGTATGTATGTATATATATATATTGTAAATACCATTATATATGTATATATATTGAGAGAGAGAGATTTCTATGCATCCATAATTAGTCTGTTCATTCAATTCATTTAGCGCGTTCACCATCTTGTGGTTATCGTTGCAGATCTACTTGTTACAGCTTGTAGCTAGCTATCTGTACGCCTTCCCTTCGCAGGTCTTATCAATAGCTACTTCTACAGATTATCATCATTACAAATGACGTTTCAGTGTAATTTCACTCAGAGAGCGCGCGATGTCCCAGTTTTACATTATTCTTCACAATCAGATCATTATGCTAGTGCGTCGAGGCGAGTGGTCCTAAATCCGTTACAAGCAGGGTCACTCGGGCCTGACGTACTAGCACGAACGCTTCATATATATATGAGTGCTACCAGTATTAGATAGATGGCAGCCCAGTTGGTCATGAGGGTTAGCTAGCTGGCTAATAAGCTTCGTAAACTTCTCGAAGTCTCCGAAAACGAGCACTCATTTAGAATTTTCCCAGTTTATATTTAGTGATCATCAGACGAAACCATGCGGACCGTCCCTATTTTGTCACGTTAATTCAACAATCCCAGTGATGTTTACCTGTATATATGTATGTGTATATTTATGTGTAATCAGCGTTGTCAGTAGTATATCTATTCAATTACTTTAACATAGAAAATATGCCAATCCCGCTGTGCACTAACAGGTGGGCTTCCATACGTGTTACACCATCAGCATATTTTATCGTCAGCAAGGAAACTATTTTACCACAATGAATTCGTTATTTCACATCGACCGTAAATCCATTATTAACCAATCAATGATCAATCAAGTGAGTCTACGTCGCCGTGTACCGGAATCGGCCATTGTCGATATCCGCTCGTTGCTGTTGTGTCGTGAGTTCCATATCAACAAACTGACGCCATTTTTAAACTACTGCTTAACTTATCGAGGTTCGTTTGAGGTCAATCGTGCCTGATTGTCATTTTGTCGCTGCTGAATTTTTCATTCTGAGTTAAGGGATTTTCGTTAGATGGCTATCTCTCATCGACGTCCGTGTTCTCTGTCCATATCTTCCCGCTGAAATCCATACTTTGCATGAACGTAAACACCGGCTGGAGTTGTGACAATAGCTCAGCGGGGGAGATAGCGTGTTGTCATGACGGCGTAGCAAACATTGTAACGACGTTCTCAGGGCTGATGGCGTTTGTTGTGTAGGGCTAGGTGGTCCGACCGCGAGAAACAGCGATCGCAGTGGCTGCATTTAAACGGCTTCGAACCCGTATGTTTCCGGTAATGGCGCGTTAGTTCGTCGGATCGGGCGAACCGCCACTCGCAACCCTCCCACGAGCACTTGTATGGCTTCTCTCCTGTGAAAGGAATAGCATAACACAGAAGACGACACGGCCATGCCAAAGACAGGCAAATCGGTTAGCGAATAGATCTGAGAGGATTACTTTTCGGAGGCTAGAGTACGAGAGTAGGGACAGTAGGATCTGAAGGGCAATGGCAATAGACCAGCAAAACTATATGACACATGAGACCTGGAATAACCGTCAAAATAAGCATCATAACAAATGTTCGAGGTATCTTATATAAGGCTAGATACGTCGAACGGATGAGAAGGTATCGGTGTGTACGTTCGAAATCAATAAGCCGACGTCCTGTCGTTAAGTACATCGAGGACTTCGGTTGATGAGTCATACGAGGACGAGGCGGCAATAGCAAGGAACGCAGTAGTGCCTCACAGCACAAAAAGGACAGACCGAATTCGGCAATAAATAGAGCTGTACGGCACTGTTCAGCTACCAGTATTGGATAGCATCGAGGACGGCGCGGAAAGTCGTAACCTTATAGAGAGAACGAAAATGGTTCACGTATTAGCTAGCAGGATGGCTTGACTGACGCTAGAACCAAATGGGTAATCCCCAAGACGATCATGACGATACAACGTATTCACGTCAATAACGGTGCTGCTTGTTATTCGATTAACTGGGATTTTTTTTTGATGCGGAAATTGAGTATTTAATAATAAAATGTAAACGAATAAATTGTTGTTTAGTATGAAGTATTCTCTAAAAATGAGCGATAAAATTACTATAACCGCTATAGACTTATATTAAAAGTTAGCAATTCTATATTATACAATTGATATCTGTCTACCTTATATACCTATCTCATATCTGCATTAAATTCCCGTTTCACTGGGTCGGTTGAAGTCGCCATTTAAACTTATAGCCCTCTAGCGGTCCAAATGGGCTGAGCCATGTTTCATCCCAACTATATTGTAATAGACAATTTGGTGGAACATCTGGTGTTTTTTTTTTTTTATTTGTCTTTGTTTTTTGATTTTGCAACCTAACAATCGGTCTCGTACACGTGTACCGATCTCATAATCCAATAATTTTTTGCTCTATTAGCTGAATTTACAATCAGCACTTCCTTGGTAATTAGTGTATTACAGAGAGATCCGATAAATTCCAAATGTAGCCAACAGACATTCGCGGCTTGGCTTGCGGCTCGACACTTGGCTCAATCACAAAGCTCTTGCGCCTCCTTCGTCCATTTCTGATCCCAATGATTTCGCCAAATATCGATAAACTTTAGACGCGGCTTAATTGAAACTATTTCGGAAACAATAAAATGTATTAAAAGTCCTCTAGAAAAATTTTCCTAATTTTTTTGGTTGGTTGTTGTAATATCCACATGATCGACAAAAACATCACAGGCTTCTAACGAGAATTTGTACCGCTTGAGAGCAAAATTCGCTAGTATTATAAAATATCAGAGAGTGTAAATTCAAATAGTGGCCTTTCTTCGGACAGCCGAGCAGACCAAGCGGCGAGGACAGTGACAGGCTAGTGGACTGGTCCAATACTCCATAGCTATAGACCCATGCTTGTACATGTAGGCGTCTCAATGACATATAGCACAGACTCAAATAGGCCACAGTGGGCACAGAAATGCGGAACGCTTGTGGCAGTAGCAACAAACAACAACTATCTAAGCATGGCGGCATCTGGCCACTGTTATTGACCAACACGCATCTCAATTACGTTCAACAGAAAAAAAAAAACAGGATTAAGAAAGGGTCCACAGGCGGCATTGGTGGTCCGTTCACTTTCCTTGTGCTAGTGCTTATACTATGATCTTCCTGGGTGCTCCTTCATGTTCGAGCCAAACATATTGATTTTGCGAATATAGACACGATATCGTTAGGGAGCGATACAAGCTGCCAACCAAGTCGTTGCACCAGTTTTTTATTGATGGTTGAAGGTTAGGTACGTCTTTTTCCCATGGTCTTTGCAGAGGACTCTTGCCGGCAACAGCAGCAGCTGCCGCCGTCCCTGAAGTCCAGCGCCAAGCAAGCGACTACTCAAAATAATGATATTCCATGCTATTTCTAAGAGACGTTGGTGAAACTCGCCGCGTTCGCGCATCGCCTTGAAGGAATTTCCTCGTTTGGTCGGTCATGCCGCTATCGACTATCTACAAAGATGAAGACCACAACGACTAGCCACGTGGCTTCTTCACCAGTGTGCGGTCCAGTCTCTACGGCCATGGTGCGTCGTCCTTCTTTGTCCTCCATTGCGCTCTCAATTTCGCTCCTATGGCCCAGCTACCAGCCATGATCGTTGTCATCGTTATTATTTCTATTACATAAAGAAACTGAAATGAATAGTGCAGCCAGCGGTCATTCTAGAATGGCTTTGACAACAGAGCAAGCACGGAACTCTGTGCGATTTGCCTTTGTTCCAACAGAAGCTTACTGCTGCTTTGTCGACTGCGTACATAGGAACGCGGTATGACCAACAGCTAAGCAATTCTGGTTTGCGAGAGGATAACTCGAAAAAAAATGCCACTTTTTTGGAAAGTCTCCTTTGAACGTAGAGTGGATTCCCATTACGAAATCCTCGCGCGTATTTGAAGTGTATTTTTACCCACCTAAGCCTGACGGTTGCTACGAACTTCCAACTCAGCTTTCGTCTGGGTCTGTTTGTAAAATTGTTTACCCGTCAATACAAACCGGAACGTATACTTATTTATAAGTGAAATCTGCTTTGGGAGCAATGAATTAATTCGAATTTTCCAACAGTTGATTAAGAACACGCGAGAATATATATATATATATATATATACATATGTATATATATATATATATATATACATATGTATATATATATATATGTATATATATATATATACATAGAATACAGAGGAAAGGCGAGACAACTCGCTACCCACGGCATGGGTTTGCCAACTTCGGTGTGCCGGCGAGGTTGACAACAAGGGGGGAATGCGGTGAATCAAGGACTCCTCTTTTCCGTATAAAAGCTGAAGTCTCGCATCGCACTCGTTCACCCATGCCTGCTTTGCAGATCCTTGTGTTCCCTTTTGTGGACGCAGCCGACATACTGGCGCCGGCCGGACAGCGGCTGACTCATGTAATAAAAGTACATGTTCCCTTCACTACTAGCCTCTCCACATTGCCCTCAGGGTCACACGGTTCCACAGGGCAGGCATAGCGCCGAGCGAAAATATGGAAGAATGGAGCAGGTAGTGCACAAAACCAAAAGAAAAAAGGATTTAAAGGAGATCGTGTAAAAAGTGTGCGGTCCGAGAACATATTTGTTGGATATGGCCGGAGCCAAACGGTTGGTCACCCGCCTCCTCTGGCCGGGTGAAGGCGGCCAGGTCGGTTCGGGATTCTGGCGAGCGCGGAAAATACGGCGGCCTGCAGGAACGCACTCGCCAACCTCAAGAATGCCGTCGCCGGCAAACGCGTTCACCGCTGGAGCTAACTGAGAGGCAAGAGAAAAAATATATCAACATACAGAGGTCGGCGACAGGCTGCGCCTTTCAAAGACGCGCTTTTAAGAAAAATAGCCTTTACCGCAGCGTCTTCGCATATTAAGCTACCCCTGCATCCCTACACGAAAAATGGCCTTAGACTGCCTCGCCCCTTCACCTGCCCACATTTGCCCTTGACATGAAGCGCCGTCGGGAGCAAAAAGGAGATCACAAGGTAAGCAGAGGCACCTAAACATGAACGTGTCAAAAAAAAAGAAGGTTTAACGAAAGTACACATAAGGGCTATTTTCTTAAAAGGAAAAACCCTGCATCGAAACATTTACCAGTATGCGTTCGCTGATGCGCCTTGAGATGCGATGATTTGGTGTAGACCTTCTTGCATCCGTTGAACTGGCAGCGATGTACGCGTCGCTTTCCGCCAGACTCAGCCTCGAAGCGGCGATTTCGACTTGACGATACTCTGAACGAAACAGTCGACGAAACGGCCTGTTTACGAGAGACATCTGGCGATGATGGGGGAGACAACGGATGTCCCGAACCGACCGGCAGAATTTTCATCGTTGCCATCATGCCTTCCGGAATAAGGGCCTTCCGCCGTTTGGCTGTCGACGGCGAAGCAACTGGAGCCGTATCGCTATCCCAGGACACGCTACTCGATGATGAAACACTAACTGCATCGATTTCTTCCGCATTGCCATTGAACTCATCTATGTCTTCTGTTTCTTCGGAGCTGCCAATTCCGCTGTCCAGGTGTGATGAGATGGAACTGCATAATAGACGTTCTTTGGCCCCTTGCGAGATGTCCTCCCACGACCGCATGAAAACGTCTTCTACCAATCCTTCGTCAAGGGCGTCGGTTCGCGGCTCATTCTTTAGGTATCGTTCCATCTCGAGGATTGTCTGAAATCATTCAAAGAAAGAGTAAAAAAAATGATAGCAAATTCGTTTAGACAAACAAATGGCATCATCGGGAGCTTTCACCCGTGGGTAATTTTGCTCAAGGAGAGAAAGGAGCAACCAGAAATCAATGAGTGTGGTGAGACAACGTGTATTGCGATAGAAGTAAAGTGAAGAAAAATTAAATAATAAAGAGGTCAAGGACGAAAGGATACGATAAAACGCGGATCGGCGTCACGCGAGAATTTAATCTCGACACCCGTCAAAGGTTGCGGCCACGAGGAAATTAGGTAAAACGGGAGAAGTCAGGCTGGGTTAAAGGCAATATCGACTGTATAAATTGAAATGGAGGCCACTTTGTTTTCTTGCCTTCACCATGCATTGTCACCTGAACAGTTACACTGTTATTAGCAGCGGATATTTTAGCAAAAGTTACTTCATATATATGTAGTCAATTTAAGGCACATTCAGCGTTTCTATACGATGCTAGTTATAGCGGTCGCCTTTATGACACTATGGTGATATATTTTATGTGTTTCAAAAAAATGTTAGAGAAACTTTCTGTTTATTCGTCATTATAGCATAACAAACTTCCATACTAACGCGCATTTGGTTTTAAAGAGGCTATGCGATCATTTCAGCACCAATGTGATAACATACAGGTACAATGCAGAATTAGATCATATTGATTTCTATCGATACTACACGTTTTCTGCGTCACGGCGGGTGGCCGCCGTTGTAGTCTGTTGGTTGCAGTTTTCTACAGAGGACTCTATGGCCTTAGTTCAGAGGGTAATGGTGTTCGAATGCAAATTTTAGCTGGTGATCAAAGCTCACCGACCGCAGAAGCAGATCGGTTGGCAACGGCCGATCTGCCGCCTATCGGGGCTGTTTCAGCCGTCCTGTCTGCCGACTGTAGACAGCAATCTGGTAAAATTTGCCGCGCCGTTATGATAATCTGCTTGGCAGATTTTCTCTAGCCCAACGCGGCTTTCCACTTTGTGGAGTGCAAAACCGGTGCTTCCCACTTCTGAATCGGTGGGCGCGTGTCGCAGCAGAAAGAACGCGCGACAGGCCTGCAAATCTCGGTCGCGTCATTAGAATATTAGCTCCTAAATATATCCTTACATATTGCAAACTGTGGCGGACCCCAGCGTTAGAGGAGGCGATGAACCCCACAGAACACGATGGAGTGGTGGCTCTTGCTTTTCCGCAGCTCCTTTCCCTCTCGCTCTCGCACTTTATTATCAGGTCTGGCACCGCCGGAGCAAACAGCAACGGCTGCTATGGGTCTTGTGCAGAGCGCTACTGCCGGCAGGACCAGTAGCGGCAAAAATAACGAGATGCATCGCAAATTTTTCGCCGGCTAGCGTTCGTGGCGTACAAATGTGCGCATACATATAGTATGAAACAGCGGGTAAAAAGCGATCACATCCCGATTAAAGACAAACCGACCGACGTGGCCAGCGAACCGCGATCTTGTCGCCGACGCTGGCGCGATGCCGCCATACATATAGCGTAGCATATAGCGCATAGTATATGCCCGCCTATCTAAAGGCCTGTCGGCTTCTTTGCTTGCATGCAGGCACTTGCCGCCCGTTTCGAAACGATGCGGCAGCACTTGCGGCTATCGCCATTATCCTGTTTCTCTTCCTTTTCCACTATGCGGCCACTATCGCCGCCCCCCGCCATCACCAACTTTTAGGAAATTTTCAGTTCATTCAGTTTTGCTGCTCTTTTGTGTGCTTGCCGGTACTGCCGCAGCTATAACTGCAATCGCTGACGGTTCCGTTCCGTGATCGTCTCGTTCTCTCGCTGCAGTAGGTGTCGCTGCTGGCGTCGTCCCGGTGTTGTTGTAACTGCCGTCATACTCAAAAATGTCGTTTGAATCAAATCGAAAAATACACACAGTTGCCGTTGCCTTCCAACCACAAGCGGTTTAGATCGACAAGTGAAGATCCCGCTGAGTGCTCAGAAGTTGTAGAGAGATGCCAGCACATATATATAAGAGATCGAGAAGGATATATATATATATATATATGGAACGAATAGGAATGAGGAGAGTATAAAGCGCCCATAAACATGAGGCTGCTTGTAGCCATTGTAGCTTCATAAGACGCTATTAGGCCACGTGATCATTCATATCTCTGGATTTGTGCATCTAGGCTGGTGAATATCAGAGAGTTTTCAAAATAAAGGACCGTCTTGTTGACCCGATGTATGTACCATATACGTCAGACGGACGAACGGAAGGGTAAAAAGAGAACTCTATGTTTAAGTGGCTGCACAAACGCGACTAAGGGGCACCCTAACAAACGAGCACGGTACATTGACATCACAGACCGCGCTTCCGCAATGCACTATGAGGAAAGAGAGGACAAGCTCAAAATACAAAAGAACAATAGTGTGACGGCCATTATGATTATGACGGCGGCAGCAGGGGCGTACTGGAAGCAAAACGATATGTCTCCAAAAGATAGCCAATATAATGCTGATGCGTGTGCGTCTTAGACTCTTAGTCGACCTCTTAACGATCCAATGTATGGGCATGCTTAAGCCGGTGCCTGTGTATGTTCACGGCCGTTCTGTGAGAATACACTAAGCAAAACTGTAGATATTTTTCTATTAGAGTTAGGGCATATTGATTAGCAGCTAAGTAGCTGATTAGAGCAATTAGCGGCAAAAAGCAGGGGAAAAATATTAATGTAGGAAAGCGTGAAGAAGTCATGAATTGAGCAGGGGCAAAACACTGCGGCAGTTACAGAGGCAACGACAGCGGTGGCAGGCGACCGAGCATAATCCAAGCCGTGCGGTGAGCGTCCTGGACTAGACCCATTCTAAGTTATGATAGCCAAGTCTTACAACGTCCTTCATCCACATTTACGACAATCATAAAATAGCAACGCAGCGGTGACGCGACCGCAGAAGGGCCGCAAGACCTGACCTAATCCAAGCCATCGACTAAAATAGAAAGACAGAGGGAAGCCAGAAAAAAAACCCACCGATTTGGCCTGCAACCACCTAGTCAAGTAAGCGAGGTACAAATCTAGACCTTGTATGTTATTCAGTGTCTCACTAGACTGCCGATTAGCGGGGAACAAATGATTAGTTTATAGAGAAGACAATGCAATAGGCATTGTGCGGGGTGGGTGACACGGTGGATGGACCTCTTTTGGTTGAAGGCGGGAAGAGAAAGCTGCGCCAATGTTGCCTGGATGAGTCACTTGAAACTGGTTTGAGCACTTGGAGGCTGTGATTTTCTCTGGGCCGTTGTCGGCTGACGAGCAAACCGCCCATACGCATACATACATACATACACATACACACACACACACACACACACACACACACACGTTGAAATACATCCACAGAGGTTGGACGTCGTGCCTATACTCCCACTTCATTTATGACATAATAAACACTGAGACTACCGACAAAAATAATTTTGCGGTACGCTACAGGGCTGGCTGAGTAGAATTCTGAATTAGAGAGGTCACATGCTTCATAGCAGTTATAGTTTAAAGCAAGTGGCAGAAAATAGAGAACGATCAATGAAGTAAAAATAGGGACAAACCACCTGCGAAGGGCCGATACAGAAATTTTCGTCTTCATCTTGATCGCAATACAAATAGAGTCTGTTCTCCTGAGGCTATGCCAACGTGAAGAAGACTAATCCCTAAGACTGGAAATACTATGGCGTTCGGCTATGTAGCGTTTTAACTTGTGGAAAGGAACGGGCGCTCAGGTAACTGTACTTTGGCGTGGCCCCAGTGGTTTATGATAATGACCCATAATCGGGAAAAGAACATCCACTGACCGTTTAGAAATGCAGCAGTACGTATACGTAAAATTCTTTTTAGTTGATAGCATGTCAAGAGTCCTAAAAGTACAAAGGCTCAAAACGGCTAAAAACATCGGCGGGGTTTGTCTAGCGCATAAAGGCTGAAAACTTTAAAAACAACACACTGTTGTTCGCCATAACGAGTTTGTTACTTTATTTTAAAAGGAACTGGTTTTTGTCTAATGACAGAATTTACGGGTGAACGCATACTGATTACGACGAACAGACTGTCAATTTTTCCCCCGTATTGAGCATACCACCCCGTGGCCTTTTCTATTGTATATTATTCAACAGTCACTTAAGGGCCCGTATCATGTGGGCACAAAGCTAAACCTTTTTAGGACGAAAGATAAGTGTCTTTAGAGAAACATTGCGCTGAAATGATGATCATATAATTTTGTGAATGAGCATATTTTATTGTTTCTATTTTTCGGTTTAGTACATTATTCTGTATTATTAAGTGAAGAAGCAAAATAACCATCTAGAGGAAAGAAGTTGATGTTTAGTTTCTGAATCTGAATTTTAAAGTCGTAAAAATATAAAAAATAACTTTGGTATGATACAAAATGGGGCAAGATAGGTTACATCGCAGGGTAGAATATTCACCGGTACAGACACTTTTCTGTACAAATTGTTTGGCAATAGACAACGCGCGTAATTTAAAATTGGACCTACGTCATGGCAGTACGTTTCGCTCATACGTTGATTAAAAGATGTAGTATTGTCTTGTATAGTATTCGGACGTGCCTTTAGGCCAGTCATACACGTTTAGGTTAATCATACAGGACCTCAAAGGGTAATAGCTCTTTGAGCTATCTGTTCGATCATAACATTTCAAGACTGCTACTCATATCGTGACTACCTTTTCACTTCTTTATTGACGCGTCGGTAGCGTATCAGTTTGATCGCCCTGTACACAAGACCCACTCGAACAGAAACAACGGCTGGCTTTGTTCAGAACATAGACATTCACGCGGCTACGGCGGCTATATCGCGCTGGTAACCAGCGAGCCTGACAAGCTACAGATGCTTTGCTAAGAGTCGGCTATCGTACTCGATCGTACACATACGTTTGCCCCTACATATTTTGTTGAGGTAAGCGTGGTAACTGGCTTATGGGCGATGCTAACACAGGTGTGAGGTCGCTCGTGTGATATACTGG